ATTTTCAGTTGGGTATCATTGCATTTGATACTTGTGCCAAGTTGAAAGACCCTAGACAGTATTGCAAACATCACATAAAAGGCAACATTCATTGTATTTTGTTAGTGTGAGGAACATTTAATGTTGTGACGTTCTGTACATTACAACCGTGGCTTAGGCTTGCCGTGTGTGATTCTGTGTATGGGAGTAGATCTGACAAGAAAAGTCACACCCCACATACTGTGACACAGAGTATTTCCAATTTAACCATTCTTTTTCGTTTGTCCCATTAATCCAAGCCTACTTGTCGGAGATGACAACCAAGCTTCCTCCGTATGCTTTGCACTGTGCCAATGCGTCATCCCATGTCGCCCCGTTAGAAAGCTGATTTTCAAACTTGTAGCAGGACTGCCCATAGGGGATCCAATCCTGGAAAGCAAAAGAAACAAATAAAGAAACAAATTAATTTTGGACTTTTTTTGCCCTGCGCGACATATATTTTAATAGTGTATACTCAGTGTATGCCCCCAAAGGCTCGTGAAAAAAACCACAAGCGTACTCGGGTGGGATTCAAATCCACGACCTCCTGCTTACTAGTGCAGACGTCTCAACCACTCGACCACCGAGCTTGCCGGCGTCGGCTGGCTGGTTCAAATCAGGTGTAGCAGCAGGTACCATGAACAACTATTTCAAAGATGGATTTGCGCTGGGGAGATGTAAATTAATTTTGAGAAACCAATCAACAAAATAAACAAATACATTCAGTCAGCCTTTTTTTATTATGAATTCCTGCATGCCTCAATGGGCTGTGAAGTAAACCAGGTTTTCCAACTGCACATAATGTTTTGCCTCATAAGATTAGTTCATTTCCTATCAAGTTTGGGATAAACATGGCACACAAATCTGCATATAGCAACTTAACAAGAACAAATTTTCATCCAATCAAAAAGAAGAGAGACCTTTCATCCGCAACAACTTGGACCATGCAAAAATGAAAGTTTCCCACAATTTTGCACATTAGGTAACCAGAGTTCTTCCATTTCTCAGGTACATGTACTTTTGAAGGTACATCATTTCTAAGGCACATGGTAACTTTTTTTATAGAAAAAAGTAATCGGAAATTGATTATCACATACAAATGAAAACTAACTTGTCTCATTGCTTGAGCTGCTGAACTAAAGACAGCACTGGGATGTTCAAGATTAGTTTTTAAAGGAGAGAGTTTTGCAGTTTGTTGTTCTGACCTGGTCGCACCCGCTCGGTGTCACTGGGAACTGGGTGGGCCCTAAATCTTGCTTCTTCATTTTGCAGATGTATCGGTGAAGCGCAGTGCAGTCCTCATCATTCCAGTAACCCTGGATCACAAAATAGTCAGATGGCCAATCAAGCAAGGGTATTAAATTGAATCATCTACGAGAATGTCCCCCCCCCCAAAAAAAGGTGGCAAAGTACTGCCCAAGGATAGACACTTCCTTGGTTTAGAAATTTTTTTTTTCATGAATACCTGAAAAACAAATTAGGCTGCAACCAAAACTATTCACCTCCCCCCCACAAAGGAAAATTCAATTATAAATCAGACTATGCAAATGCTGAGGCCTTCGGTACTCCTGATACATCTGGGATATGAACCAAGATTCTGAGGTTTTGTTTGATTCAATGTCCCAAGAATACTTGACTTCCAACATGTTTCCTTCCAAAAAAAGGGGAAGAATACTGCACGCTGTGATAAATGGGCCTTAAAATGAATTGCAGACACAAGCCTTGTAAAAAAAAAATTGCAAATTAACTGAAAATATTGGTTAATATAATAGACTTGCATCAGTCCACATTTCCACACAGTCTTCTGGATTGCCATTGTAGTTGTTGGGTTCTCCGGCCGCCCAGTTAGTGTAAAGCACATCGCTGTCGTCGCTCCATTCATACGAATGGTAGGCCTTGTTGTCGTTTAACCCAATGTAAAAGTGATTCGAATCATCCGGCTGAACTGTGGGAACAGGCCAGAATAAGCAAAATAAGCACAGAAAAATTATTTCTTATTTAACAAAAAGAACAATTTACGCAACCTGGCAGTTACTGGTCACAACAATGACTATCGTGCAATGTGGGTGGTTCGGGGCCAGATTGAATGCTCCAATGGCAAGGTCCGATCCAGAACCCATTTTTTGGGGGGGGGACGGAGCAAAAATGTGTAATCTTGTCTTTCTGACGGAAGAGGGTAAATCTGCGGCTTTTTACACACTTTTGGAAGGAAAGGAGATAAAATAGGAAGAAAAAAAATTGCTGCTTTGCACTTGTCTCATGGCCCCAAGCACCTAAGTTCTGTAGGCCTTTCCCCCCTTTACAAACACTGATTTCATTGTGTTGATAAGTGCTGGAGTCTTGCATTTCATGCTGATGCAGAGCTGGAATATATGCAATTAGTAAGCTTGAAGTTAGTTCACAATTCAGAGAGAGACACTGACACTTTTTGGCGTGTTCGCAAAATGTTGGCGTTTGTGTTCCATAGCACACCTGTAGTATTTTCGTACGGCCTCAAACTTTTCCTACCCCACCAATTTTTGTCAGCTCGAGGCACGGTTGGTACTTTGCCCGTTGATCACTGCCACTGCGGAACAGTAGTGTGGCAGGTTCTAAGCCCATAAACAAGGGCAAACAGTCTAAGGTATTTATAAATGTGCATCACTCACTCGCTGTCGAGATGATAGTCTTGACAAAAGCATTCTCGCTGGCATCCCAAATGGAAGCCAGATCGGCTCCAGCAGTTGCACGGCAGCCTTTCAGGGCATCCGCCCATGTCACTGAGGAGGACTGGACCTGGTAGCAGTAGTCGCCGTTAGCCAGCCAGTTGGCCTGACATCGGTAGTTGGGTCCCAGTGTAGGTGGGACGGTGGGATTTGGTGGTGCATCACTTCCTGTCATGTCCAAAAAAAAATAATGCAATGCATGATGGCAGCCTTGAACAAACCGCAGGTGTTAGGTCGCTATCAAAAATAAAAACAAGTTTTCAAGCCTATAAAACAGCTGAAAAACGTCCTCCCAGACAAACACTGTACCTGCCTATCATTGTATAATCACTCTACATTTGCATTTAGGAATCTCTGATGAGTGGGGCCAAATCTCTCCAGCATAATGTTAGGCCAGCTGGTAGAGCACCTGGAAAATTGTTTGATTCCTTGAGTCAATCAGTTTACTACTGTGTTGTGGTGAACTACTCCCCAAGTACAGACAAAGGGCAAAAACTAACTCAGGAGTGACGTTGCTACAGTTCATGTATGAATGAGTTGTGGCTTTATTTACATAGCTGTAGTCACAAGTACTCATAGCTCCAGTCACAAGTACTTCATGAGTAATCATAGCTCCAGTCACAGGTGCTTCACAATTACTCATAGCTCCAGTCACAGGTTCTTCATGAATACTCATAGCTCCAGTCACAGGTACTTCACAATTACTCATAGCTCCAGTCACAGGTACTTCACAATTACTCATAGCTCCAGTCACAGGTGCTTCACAATTACTCATAGCTCCAGTCACAGGTGCTTCACAAGTACTCATAGCTGCAGTCACAGGTGCTTCACAAGTACTCATAGCTCCAGTCACAGGTGCTTCACAATTACTCATAGCTCCAGTCACAGGTACTTCATGAATAATCATAGCTCCAGTCACAGGCACTTCACAAGTAATTATACCTGTAGTCATAGGTACTTTGCAGTACTTCAAATACTCCAAATGTCCTTGACTGTAGCCATGAGTACTTATAAGCGCCTATGACTGCAGCTATGTGTACTTGGCAAAGTACCTGTGAGGTACTCACTGAACTTTTGTTTGACTTCCTCCAGCAACTGAAAACCAAGTACTCACTCAGTTGGTAGTAGTCCTGGTCTGTGGCTGCCTTCAGACCTCCCGCTGTGTCCTTGGAGGCATCCAAGAGGTCACATTTCTTTGTGGCTCGGTTGTAATTGAACGCTAGGCACTTGTACGGGATGGTAGTCAGAGCACAGGAATAAGCACATGTCTCGGGATAGATGTCAGGAACAGTGACTTTGGGTGTGACGGGCAGATACATGTTGGGGTAGGCAGAGAAGTGAGAGACGAGGTGACCTATACAATGAGAAAAATTATCCTCATAAACAAACGCACAACTAGAATAACATTCCATAGTTGGCACTGTCTTTGTATTAAAGTTATCAAAGTTTAGGCCTAGCCCCTTATGTCATTCTGTTTGAGCAGTTCAGACATATAGTTGCAAACATTCAAAAACACCTCAGCTCCTCCCAGTGAGTGACCATTAACAGACATCATCTAACAAACTGGCAAGAGTTCAAAGAGAAGTTCAGGACTATTCAAGCTGACCATCTTTTTTGCACACGTATCCCATGGAGTTGGCACAGTCAACATCGTTCCACAATCCGCCATTGACTTTGAATTCTGCACACTCTTCAGACCCGTAGTTATTGGGCTCACCTGGTGGACAAAGGAAAACAAGATCATTTTGTTTAAGCCCCAAAATCACCTAATTTTCATCTAGGTAAACCTTTCAATTTTTTTTCTCTGTCCTTACCACCAATCAAGTTTGACAATCTGAGGCTTAAAGAAACATTTAGAATTTGCTTGTGAGCATTTTTTTTTCCAAATAATACAAGGCCTAACTTGTTCTCTAGGGTCATTCCTGTATCAGGTAAGATGTACATTTTAATATTAGGTTTTGGCAATCACTAACTTGATCAATGCTGGCAGAAGAATGACGGCACCAGGCATCACCCATCAATAGACCAATCCACTAATCCCCATCCTATTACAGGACCTCCAAAAGTTGGGGGCTTGCTCCCCAGTGGAACAAGTGGGGGGGGGGCCACTGCTCTCCCCTGTCCCACTTCCGCCGCAGGTGAACTTGGTTTGTCTAAGCAATGCATATTCAGTGCCGCCGAATAACTTGTGAGAAGAAATTCATTGACCCAGTTAGATGGCACTTGAACCCACAACGTATTGCTACTAGTTCAGATGTCTTACCTGCTTTACTGAGCTTGTCGGCATCACTGGGCCAATTTGAATCGGATAGCACCAAAGTCAACCACTTTTATACGAATTCTGTCTTGGGGAGACACTGCTAGCTGTTGTGACCTCATGTGTTTACCTCTGAACCAATCAGGGTCTCTCAATAAATATACAAATATGTGAAGCAAAACGACTCCTCACCGCTGGCCCAGTTTAGGAATTTGAACGGGGACCCATCGCTCCACACCCATCCGCCTTCTACAGAGAGGTCATTGGCACCGATCCAAACAGTCGTCTCAATGGTAAGAGCCAAGCGCGCTGTTTGAAAGAAGGCAGGACAGGAAACATGAAACAGTGTTTACAATGATCTTGCGTTAACCAACAACACAATGATGTGACTGACAGATGTTCTTGTTAGGTCAAAAGTCATTAATTCACACAGCTTCAAAGATGTGCCATACACATGCTTGGATCCCAACTACAACAGCAGTGTATGTGTTCATAGAGTACCAAAGTGAATACGTCACGCACACAATTAGTGTGTTAAAGGCATTAGCGCGAGAAACAACGCGTGAACCAACGTGCACGCGTACTCCATTCGTTTGCACTGCACTTTCTGGTTCACAGTGACGTTACACTTCGGTACTCTATAGTAGGAACAATTCACAAGCAAGCATGTATCAATGTCAGCAAAGTTTCTATATTTAGTACCACATTGTTTTAAAGCATTTATATTTATCTGGGATGATGTATACTCGCCATTGAGGTATGTCTGCTCTGACAAATCGGTGATGCTGACGAGGTCACCGCCTCCCAGCTGACACTGACTCCTGGCACTCTGCCACTTCCGGAGGTCGCCCGGCTTGAACAGGTAGCACTGCTTGGATGTTGTGTCGTACTCCCACCCAATGCCACAACGGTCATTAAAAACAGCTGAACGTAGGACATACAGGAGCATCAACGAAAGTGCAATAGGAACATGGTGAATTTTGAGCACCAGTCTAAAACTAAAACAACTTGATGTGTGATTCAGTAGGATAATGCAGTCAGATGATTCAGTTTGACCGAAATGTGGTGCTTTCAAAGACGCGTGAACCATTTTTGGGGTGAGGTTTTTGCAGTTTACAACAAGAAGTTACGATCTTTTTTCTTGGCCCGATTGTTTATGTGAATGATCATGCACCAAAGTGGGGCCAGATGGCATACAGAAAAAGGGCTACACAAAGTCATTCAAAACAGCTGATGTCACATCAACTTAAATGTGTTCATGGCATTTGAGTCAGCATGTGACCTATAAAATGCTTCATTCTGCACATGCGCTTTTATAAAACCAAAGTATCTCTTTCATTTTTTTCATTCTTTAAGTTTCTAATCTGGACCTTTTTTGCGATAACAAATTTTGTATATGAAGCTGAAGAAAATCAAAAAGGAGACATCACCAGGGGTGAGCTTACGTGTAGGTTTTGCAGTCGGTGGGGGAGTGTTACCATCGCCTGTGTAAAGAGATGTCAACTCAAAGTGAGTTAATTCAGTATGAGAGTAAGATCAGGGGGTGGAAGTTGCAGGAAATATTGGCGTGGCCATCATGTTTGCAACTTTTTTAATGTAAAAAATCTTCCATTTTAAAACAATGAATTAATTCTACACATTTTCTAAGATTTTGATGTTTTAAGGGTTTTGGGAAGTCACTTAAATTGGGGGTCGAAAATTGCATTGAAAAAGCAAGGCACAAGGGAACGGGCATTAAAACTGGGAGCTAAAAAAGGAAGGGGCGGCAGTGAAGAAGGGTCACTGAAGGGACGATGAATGGTTTGGGGGGCATAAAAGAAATAAGTGTAGGCATTACCTGCTTTCTTTTTGCAGATGTAGCCAGCCATTTTGTTGCCGCAGGGCAAGTCGTTCCACATTCCTTCCTGAAGTTCGTAACTCCGGAAGTGTACGCACCTTTCACTGTCGCCACTGCCGTAGTGATCTGGCTGACCAGGGGCCCAGTACGTAAAGCCATACTGTACAAAAGACCAACCAATCATTATTTTTATTACTATTATTATTGAACATTTCTGGTGCTGAAACCAAGGATTCCTCAAAGGTGCAGTTTTTAGAGGTGGGAAGAAACTTTTCACCCAGGAGATATTCTGGGTAATATCCATGGAATCAGGAAGGGACTGAAAACCCAATCTACATGTGGACCGAGCCAGGAATCGAGCCCGGGCCGCACAGGTGAAAGGCCACTATGCCAACTTAACTCACACATGAAGAACCAAACAGGTGTGGTGCTTGAGTCTTTCATCAAGCTCAATGGGTGAATCAATGCAGTAAGCTGGCATGATTTCACTGCTCTACTTACTGTAAGTGACGAGTCTCTGCTTGCTATGGCATAAAATTCTAAATCAACTCATCATGAGTTAGTGAAGGAATATCGGTTTTAATGTATACATGCAAACATGCCGTAACTTAAAAAGCTGTGAAGATATTGTACAATTTGCTCTTAAGGGCCAGTGCATATGGTGTTTGATTTCATTTTAAAATTTGGCTGATATATCTTCTCCTTTTTTCCGTGATGTATTAAGGCAACAATAATGTTGCACCTAAGGTAGTTTCATTGTGAAATTCTCCAGGTATTTATAGAAGTCAGAATATTTACATGTCTACAGGGAATTAGAAGATTGTTGTTGTCGTTCTTGTTTATTTTAACAAGAGGAAGGATCTTTGGAACAATTTGATTCCCTCCCAAATCTGAAAAGTTTAAAAAGAACCTTAAATTTGGCCTGACACACAAAAAAACTATGAAGAAATCCGTAATTCCCCAAGTAAAAAATTCTACCCCTGTTAGAGTGCATTTACTAATACATTGTGGTGGCTGGCGCAGCTCACATCAAACAAAGTGACAGTAACGTAGCAAAGGAAAGGTCTATACTCATCAGTGGCTACCTCAAACTTTACCAATGTATTCATTCAACAATTGATGTTGCTTACAGGGGAGCCGTCTTCCCAGACAAAGACTTTTGATGTCTGCTTGTCATTCAGTCCAATCCACAAAAACACTTTGAGCATGTAAGTCCTCACTGAAATGCAAACATAACAAAAAATACAAATCAGAAACAGTGACATAATTCATTGACAGTTGGTCAGCCTCTTGATGCCCAGGTGGCCTCGTCAATGAAAGTGGAGGATCAGGCCTCCCACAGAAATCTAAAACCAAATTCCATGACTTCTCCAAGACTATCCGGGACTCAAATATGACAATTTCTGCTCAGTATCACAAACTAGACGACTGCCACAGTCACTACTAGAGACTTACAAGGATAGCCTGCAACTTCATTACTATTCTGTTATCACATCAAAAAAAGTGGGCAATGTTGCATGATCTTGATTTCCATGACTTTTTTCCTTTTGATAAGAGAATTCGAGGATACCCTACTTTCTCTCTAATTTCCATGACTTTCCGGGACAACTTCCTTCTTAGTATTTTCCAGGATTTCCCATGACCGTGGGAACCCTTGGGACGGGCCAGTTTGGATCAATCTGGTTTGATGTTTGATGTGATCTGGTGTGCACATTACAGAAGAATGAGGCCATTTACTTGACAAGTAGGACTGCTCGTCACTGTCCAGAATACTCGTCAGTGTGGACCCCATGTTGATGCAGGCCTGCCTGCCCACGTCGTAGGTGTCCAGCTTGGTCTCAATGTAGTAGCAGTTCTTATTGAAGAGATTCCAGCCTGAGTCGCAGGTGCCAATAGCTGCAGGCAGGATGGTAGGAAAAACTGGCCAACATAAAATGGGCGGGGGGCTCATCAGGCCTGTCAGATTTTTCATGTCTCACTGTTGCAGACAGGCAGACACATAGGTAACCTGACATTGTTACTGAAGCACTCACCTTTATACACATAGTGTGACATCGTCAGTTTGTTGGGTTATTACCATATTTGTTATTCAATTTTTAAATCTTTTAGGGGCTATCAGAGCAGGGGTTGGGTGCATTGAGTAACACCCCCTCCCCGGATCCGCACCTAAAATGATAACGCTGAAAAATTTGTTGGCTATACCTAATGTCTGGGTAGCTCATTCACAAGACACCACATGCAAACTATTTAAGTAATTCTTTATTGTCACTTCAAAAAGGCATAGATTGTCTATAGCATACCAACCTGTTGTTGGATCAATGGGCCAAACCTTTTCACCTGTAAGCGTCAATAAAACAATGAAACAAAAGATGAAGATACTCAGGTCTGACTGTGCATTTCTCAGTACTCAATAAGGTAAGGTAACAAAAATGTTAAGGGTCGCGATCAACAAGTTTTTTTATATTTTTTTTTCTGTGCATTCCCTAAAGATGGATCCGGAACTAGATTTCAGGGTAGATTTTTCCCCGAGTCCAAAATTTGCGAGTTTTAACTTTTATGGCCTTCTGAGAAGTAAGGCTAAATCTTTTAACCTACTTCAAGAAGGAAAGGATAAAAAAGTTCCACAATTGTTTTCTCTCATACTATGTAGATTAAAAAAATGCCCCGTTTTGTAATCTTTTTGACAGAACTTGTCCATTATTTACTCACCAGCCTTTATCTTACAAATGAAGGGAAGAACTTCGTAACAGTTGCCTGTATTCCACTTGCCCTGAGCATCAGCTGAAAAGGGGACCAATTGCAAGTGTCAGACAGGACGCTCAAAAGTTACAGATTACTTTGTTCTTGATACCTTACAAACTGAAAGACATAATGTGCCTTATGGATTACCACTGAAGAACACATTACATCTTTAACTCTGTCCTCGGGGCACAAGGGTTCAATGCAGCCATTGATTGATTGACCTTCTAATGAAACGGCTCACAAACCAGCCAGCCCAAGAGCATGGCAACCGTTATTTTCATGTAAGCCCAGAGGAGACTCACAAATGAGACAGGATGAGGGACGCCAGTGAATGGATGGAAATGATCACACCGGAGTGTGAAATCTAGCAAATGAGAAAGGATTTCGTCAGGTTGTTTGGATAACAGTCGCACTCAAAATATGACTTGCCACAATATTAGTTCCATTTTAAAAGCTTTGAATCCAACTGTGGTCAGAGCTGCATGGTCACACATGAGCATTTCAGATAGTCAAAAATCATAATAGCATCTTGATTGCACTCACAGGTATCATAAAAGCTGCAATCGGTGTACTTTCCATTTGTAGGTCCGTTCGGCTGCCAATTCATGTATGACATTGTCGTGCCATCAACCCATTCAAATGTTCCGTCCGTCTTTGTATCTGTTAAAAGTAACACACGAGCTGACTTGAGGGAGAATCTTTCATCTTTCTCTTTCATAATGAGGATCCTTTTTCTTTCGTAGAAAAAAGGTCAGCTCAAGGCAAAATATGAAAAGTTTCTATGTTCAGGGCTGATCAAGTGATGACTTGCTCCTTATTAAAGCACCCCTTTACATCAACTTGATAACTAGTCAAATCTGCACATATCATGCTGTTGATCTAACCTTCACCTAGGAGATACCCAACTGAATTCTTATGACACACATTTCACCCTAGACGAAGCCCCTATCCACACCCAGTGGATACCCAATACTAAAAGCACCCATCTTCACCCTATCAGTACCCAACTGAAATCCTGCACCATGCTATGTGTCCTACCTGAATTGTCCATCCATACCCACTGAGCACCCAATTTACACCCAGGCTGTGTTACAATGCTCAACCTACCCGAAGCACCCATCCACACCCTGTCAATATTCACTTCACTCAGGCTGGCAAGCTGCTTTACGATGAAGGCATTCTCATCAGCACTGCAAGAGGAAGTACAGAGGAATCAAATGGAAATACAGTGGGTCTACTTTAAGCTGTGAAATTGGGCATCAGCAGGAGGATGATAGAGCTCGCTCAGGGGAGGAGAGAACTCCTGATTAGTAACAGATGACATACCATCAATAGATGACAAGGGTCAATTCAAAGGTCCCTGTCTTTTTCTTTTTTATTTTTAACTTGTTTCCATTTTTTTCTAAGATGACCACCTATTTCTCTATCAGAGTGAACCTGTCAATCTAGTGGTATCAATCATAATTGAAATCAAAAGCATTTTCATAATTGACAGAGACTTCCCTCTGTTTGACTCCAAAATGCGCTAACACAAACATTGAATGACAACGAATTCTGGATATGATTCAACTACATTTAAAATAAGGTCTGTCTGGAAACAAGTTGCAAAAAGCACTGACGTTTGAGAAAGTTACACTCCAATACGTCTAATTGCAGCAATTAATGGTTTCTTAAGAATAAGTAAAACTTCTCAGAACCAACACTAGGAATTCATGTTGAATTAAAATATAATTTGCCAAATTATTACTTGAGTAATCTTACTGGTGACTATTTTGTTGTGAAATGCAGATAGCGTCTACTTATTTGTTTGTGATAGTTTTGTTCACTCCATGTTTCTTCAGTCACTGTGGTTGTAGTATCTTTTGTTACATGCTAAAATTGGAGAGATAGAAACTTTGACCCTCTTGAAATTCAGGGGAGTAACAGTGCCGGTTTGTGCACAGCTCTTAGTGAGTCAATTAACAGCGTCACTTGCACGTGTGGGTTGTGTTATGTCATTGATAGTTACTGAATCTACTTAGTACCAGCAGGGATCAGATAAAAAATCTGATAAAATACTGTAGCAAAATAAACAAATGTTGCAAATTATCAGTCAATTTTTATCTAAACTGCCCTAATCCCTAGTTCCCCATCAGAACTAATGATGAACAAGACAGCACGTCCCCCCCACACCAAAAACAAAACAAATCTACAGTATTTGACCCTTACTCTAGAAATAACTGCTTTTCAAACCGACTTTGAGAGATGCAATGAGGAAGAAATAAAAAAATGTCTGCAGCTGCGCAAGAAGAAATTTTCAGTACAGTAAAAGTGGCCTCTAGCATAATGGGAATAAAGACATGAAATAAAATAGGCATGATACCTCCCACCCATCCCCAGAAAGAAGCATTATTTGCCATCAATTTTCTTTTAGACAAGCTTCAGAATTCATTTAAGTTACTGCTACTTACCTACTGAAATAGTTTACTTATACTGGATTGTACACAGCAGTAAAGCATTACAGAGAAAGCAATTTTGACACAGTAGCCAGGATTCAAAGTCAGACAAAACAAATAACGCATGTAAATTGAAATGAAAAAGAAACAAAAAAAGAAAAGAAGTGCAACTATTACTTATTTTGCCTCTACCAGACTTACCCGTGCACACTGGTCAGGAAAGCCCTGTGGGCTTCGCAGGTTGCCTTGGCGACAAACCAGGTCATCGGGGAGTTGGTGTAGATGTTGTAACACTGGCCGCCATGGATGCGCCAGCCAGGCGCGCACGTTCCTAACAAAGAGGGAGAAATTCCTTCCAAATTTGAATTTTACCTAAGAAAATGTATCACATATCACTGAAAAAAAGAAGTCTTGGAGAAAATGATAAAAGACAGCTGATGGAAAAAAATATTTTCTCATAATTCAGCTCTTTCCTGCACCAGACAGATCCTGGTATCCAATATTGACCAGTGATGGCATGTTACCAAGTTTACATGTATTCATCTATATGCACGAGTTACATGTCATTTTTCCAAAATGGCTGGCTTCACCATGGCGCAAACGTCTTAAAGGAAATCAGACCGAAAAGAAAAGTTTTCAATTCTTACCCTTTGGCTTTTCGCACACAAAACTTCTCTTGTCAGTGCATGCTGCTGTTGTCCATTTCCCATCCGACGGGTTGTTAAGGATCTCGACGCAGTTCCCTCCTTTGTCAAAAAAACTGCCACCGATAAGAAAAATTACAAATGAAAGTTTCAACAAGATAGACACGGTGACTACCACATATCAATGACTCAAAAAGGACATCCAAAAAGCCTATTAACAGCTGTGAATTTTAAGATTGAATCTAAAACTGAATGATCATTCTGTTTTGCAATAGGCAAACGAAACATAGGCTACGTGACTGATCTCCACAGCATCATACAGTTGGTACATTTCTGAGAAAAAGCCACAAGAGTTAATCACCCCTCTAACTTTAACCACTGGTAATCTATGATGAACAAAGCAGACACACAACAGTCAGCAACATAGACACACAAAAGTAAATAATAACAAATCTTGACCTATTATCTGGTTGGCTAGGTGCCCAGTTCTTTAAGGCCCCAAGAGTTGTATTATCAACCCAGTTGTACTGTCCTTTAATGCCCTTGATCTGTAAAGGTGCATAGAAATGAAAGCAACACAAAAGAAACGGTTAACACAAAAGGCATGTCTTACAATTTGAAACTTTTTGAGAAAAAAAGGAACTGGCACTTGAAATAATTCAGACTTTGCTGGGTATTTGAAGTTCATAAATTGAATCAACTTCCGGGCAAGCACAACGTTCTTCAGTTCAGAATCTGGAAATCCTGATCATGCAGTGCTGTAAAAAAAAAAATTATGTCAAGTGGGCACAAAAACCCATCCCAAAATCTTTGACAGTAGTTCCCCCAGGTTTG